CAACCTATAGATCAGATCGAAGCTTTGCAGCCTGCCACATATAGTCATGAGTGGTGGTGTACAATAAACAACTCACTGAAGGAGATGGTTTCACAAATACAGGTCATTCTCCTATAACGTGATAGTTGCGTTCTTGCTCGACCTTGCGCTAAAGAAAATCGCCATAGAAAATCGCGTTATAGGGAAATTGCTACAGAAAATCGCAATAGCTGTACAGCAGAAAGTTCGTGTTAACCAAACAGCGTCCACTATTCATCAATCGCGTTACAGCCAATTCGCATTAATGAAACACACTTTACACCAGAACTACCTGTACCCCCATCCTCAATGATGGATGAGCCCCACACATCAGTGCAAAATACAAGGCTGAAGCATTCGTAGCAATCTACAGCCAGAAATACCAAATGGATGATCCATCTCTGCCTCCCATAGTGGTCTCCAGCATCACAGATGTCAGTCTTCAGCCAATTCAATTCACTCCACTTCACATAATATAAACAAACAGTTGCACGTACCGGACAGTGTAAAAGCTATGGACTCTGACAACATTCCAGCAGTAGCACTGAAGACATGCTCCAGAACTTGCTGCTTCCCTTGCCAAGTTGTTCCAGTACAGTTACAACACTGGAATCTACCCAACAATGTACATAAAAAGGAGGACAAATCCAACACAGCCAGTTACCACCACATTAGACTACTCCTTTCGATCATCAGTAAAGTGACAAAGTGTCTTCAAGAGTGCTATCAAGTAGTAGTAATCTACTCATTGACATCTAGTTTAAGTTCAGTCAGGGCCACTCAGTTCCTAACCTCATTACAGCCTTGGCTGAAACAAAAGCTCTGAACTCCAGAGGTGAGGTGAAAGGGACAGCCCTTGGCATTAAGGTGCCATAACAAAACTGGAATCAATGGTCAAACTCACTGCTGGTTGGAGTAATACCTGGCACATAGGAAGACGACTGTGGTTGTTGGGAGGTCAGTCATCTCAGCTCCAGGATATCTCTGCAGGAGTTTCTCAGGGTAGTGTCCTAGGCCCAACCATCTTCAGCTGTTTCATTAAAGACACTCCCTCCATCACAAGTAGGGATATTTGCTGATGCTTGCACAAAGTTCAGTACCATTCACAACTGCTCAGGTACTGAAGCAGTCCGTGTTCAAATGCAACAAGATCTGGACAGTTTCCAGGCTTGGGCTGATAAGTGTCAAGTGGTAATATATCATTGTTCGTTTACTGTCACTGGGTCAACATCTTGGAATTCCCTCCCTAAAGGCATTTTGGATCTCAGTGCAGAACATGGACTACAGCAGTTCAAGAAGGGAGCTCACCACCACTTTAAGGGCAACTAGGAATGGGCAATAAATGCTGGCCAGCCAGCGATACCTATGTCCAACGAGTGAACTTTTAAAAGTGACAAATACTGTTTGATAATTCTGTTTCAAAATGTCTATTGTTTTGGTACACTAAAAGGCACAATAAATGTAGTATTGCTTTAAAGTTTTTGAGAAGACTTGTAGCTTGGGTCGTGAACGAGGTTGTGGACATGCTCGCCAAGCCAGTAGATTTGGTTGCAAATGTTTCATCACCCTGCTAGGTAACATTGTCAGTGCATCTCCAGGGAAGGGTCGGTATTCTGTCCCACTTGTTATTTATATGCCTTGGTTTGCTGGGGTGGATGGTGTTACTTCTGGTTTTGTTTCTCAGTGCTTTGTACGCAGGGTCTAATTCAATGTGTTTGTTGATGGAGTTCCAGTTTGAATACAAGGCCTTCAGGAATTCCCTGGCATGTCTGTTCAGCTTGTGCGATTATGGATGTGCTATCCCAGTCAAATTAGTGTCCCTCATTGTCGGTGTGTAGTGAAACAAGTAAGAATCGGTGGTGTTTGTTGGTGGCTATTTGGTGCTCACGTATCTGCATAGTCAATTTTCTTCCAGTTTGGCCTTTGCTGTGTTTCTCACAGTTCTTGCAGGGTATTTTGTAAATTACCCCAGTTTTGCTGGTTTTGGGTATGGGATCCTTTCCGTTTGTCAGTAGCTGTCGTAGGATGGTCGTCGTCGGTTTGTGGGCTACTCTGATACTTACGGGTTCGAGTAGTCTTGTGGTCATTTCTGAAATGTCCTTGCTGTATGGTAGGGTAATTAGTGAGTCTGGTTGTGTTGTGCCTTCCTATTGTATATATTGTATATTTCTATATTGTAGTTTTGCTATTGTATTAAATTTAACACAAAATGGTGTTGGACAATTCAAGTGAACGACACAACCCAATTTGATCCTGCGGATGTTGAGTGGTTGTTTTTCACTGATCAAAGCAGGAATTCTGGCTGTATCCCCTTCCTCAAGCACTGCTACATGTATCTCCAATGAAGCCACAATGAGCCAAATCAACACAGACAGAGGGTTGAGCAGCAGTACTTTATTGGATTTAGGTTGAGCTATGCACTGGATAAAATCATTTTGTCTTGAAGTCTAATATTGTAATTTAGTGATAACTGTTGACAATAACTAAGTTATCACTGACAAAACCTGTACATCAGTATGACTGCTTTTGTAAACAATAAGTGTCCAGTTGAACTTGCTCAAAATAATTTTACTCTACTTCTAATCAATCTAAACTTTGAGCAAGAATTTCTCATGCTGAAACAACAGATGGTCTACGCTTGGAGTTAGAGTACTAGTTAGTTTGTGACAGGAAGAAATAGATTTTTGCTTCGGATATGTAGAGTTTTAAAAGCAGTGCCAATTTGAGATGAATTCAATTTGTTCTATTTTATTCACTGAATTTAAATCTTGTTGCTTCTGGACACCTGCCATTGTTCTTTTTGTCCCAATATTCTACTACTCTCTACTGGACCAGAGTCATCATGTCCTTTTCTCTCCTGTCCAAATTACCTCATCCTCCATCATCCCAATACAGAAATAAAAAGGAGATAAAGGAATAATAATGCAAATATTAGCAATATTTTATTTTCACGTTGACATTTGGTGAGATTTCATTGGCCAAATTAGCGATGTGATTTATACATTGTCAGCTATTGACAATATTGAAATATGTCTGAATGTGATCAAAGGTCTTTCTTTAATTCCTGTTAGTGAAAGTATGTTGTTTGCAGTCTATGGAGAGTCTTAGATGGAGCAAGCATTTAGAGTCATAAGAAACGTACAGCACGGAAACAGATGCTTTGGTCCAACTCATCGATGCCGACCAGATATCCTAAATTAATCTAGTCCCATTTGCCAGCATTTGGCCCATATCCCTCAAACCTTCCTGTTCATATACCCATACAAATGCCTTTTAAATGTTGTAATTGTACTAGCCTCCATCACTTCTTCTGGCAGCTCATTACATACATGCACCACCCATTGTGTGAAAAAGTTGCCCCTCAGGTCCCTTTGAAATCTTTCCCCTCTCACCTTAAACCTAAGCACACGAGTTTTGGACTCGCCTACCCCGGAAAAAGACCTTGTCTATTTACCCTATCCATGCCGCTCATGATTTTATAAATCTCTATAAGGTCACCCCTCAGCCTCCGATGCTCCAGGGAAATTAGCCCTAGCCTATTCAGCCTTTCCCTATAGCTCAAACCCTCCAACCCTGGCAACATCCTTGTAAATCTTTTCTGAACCCTTTCAAGCTTCCCAACATCATTCCTACGGCAGGGAAACCACAATTGCATGCAATATTCTAAAAGTGGCCTAACCAATGTCCTGTACAACCGCAACGTGATCTCCCAACTCCTATACTCAACGCACTGACCAATAAAGGCAAACAAACCAAAACGCCTTCATCACTATCCTATCTACCTGTGACTCCACTTTCAATGAACTGTAAACTTGACCTCCAAAGTCTCTGTTCAGAAACACTCCCCAGGACCTTACCATTAAGTGTATAAGTCCTGCCCTGACTTGCCTTTCCAAATGCAGCACCTCTCATTTATCTAAATGAAACACCATCTGCCACTCCCCAGTCCATTGGCCCATCTGATCAAGATCCAAAAGTGGACTTCTCTAAATCGTTTAGATCTGGTCCATTCATAGTACCATACTAAATTTTCTTAGAGGGGTGGGAAAACAGGATTTTTTTCCCATTTTCCTATTTTAAGCCAGTCATTTGCATGGATTCAAAACTCAAAAACAAAACACCATATTCATTTAGCAATGCACGTTGCTCCTGCAAACAGCCATCAGAACCAACTCTTCCTGTCTATCTCCCAACAACTGATTCTGAGGGTCAATATCTTCCCAAAGCAATTGACTCAGTTTAGCAGCTATGCACTATTTTTCTCTACGAGTCCCTACATTTGTAGAATGGAATTTAATTCTAAAGGCTGCAATGAGTAACAAACCAAGCACTCTACCACTAATGATTTCTACCAGGAGAATATTGTTTCTCTAATATGGTGCAAAAGTGAAAACATACCCAATATTAGCATGGTAATGAATTTGAAATGTTTTAGCTCAAGCAATGAAAATCATATGCATATGATGGGGATAAACAATTATCAGGTGTGCCATGAAATCAGATCAACAGCATTCAGAGCTATTGTCAAGCATCTCAGTTGTGCCTGTTTTCCAAGCTGCATAATTGGCTAAACTGCATGCATTCAACATTTCACAGATATGCACTAGACTGTCAATTTTCAGTCAGCCTAAGTTATCTTTTCTATGCAGCTGTGGAATGTCTGCAAATCAAGATTAAGATTGATGTGCAATTGCAGACTTTATTGACAGGTGATAGGAAAGCCTTCAAAATGTTAGGAGTTTTATTGAGGTTTTGTGATTTTGAATTTAGTTTTTTATATTACTTTTACATGCAGAATTGTCCTTGTAAAGAACATTTAAAATCTCTATAACAATTCCAAGTTGAAACGAAGCTCAATAATAAACACTTCTGAAAATAGTTGGATTACTACAGGCTGTTCTACTATTTCAAATGCTCTAAAGGAATGCTATTTGTGCAATGTTATTGTTATCCTCGAAACTGACATTAATACTATCGTTTGATTAGAGAGTAACAAAATCCATACCTTGCCTGTTCTCAGAGGATACGCTGATCATGCTTCCATCTTCAGCTAGTCCATTTTCCAGGTTATCAATGATCTGTGTGACAGGCAAGTAATATTTTTCAAAAATCTAACAGTCGCAAAACTGTATCATTACAATATTCAAAGTAACTAAAGGATTCTCAGGTGGCATTCTCATAACAGATTTTTGTAGGTATCCTAGCATGATGCTAACAAAAAAAGTTGCATTCTGTGGTTAAGTACACATCAAAAGATATGAGCTAGACAAAAGAATCAATGTTCACAGATACATTATTGTTTTAAATTAATCCAAAGAAATTTAAATTCAGGTGAAATAAATTTTGAAGCCTCTCGTTTCATTAAATTATAAACTAAGAAAAAGAATACAAAACACAATAAGAGTTCACACAAAGGACAATGAGGGACCAAATGATGTTAAGTGAGATGAATAATTTAAGATAATGACATAAGGTAGACTGCGTTCATTCTAGCCTATGCTTCAAAGCACTGGGAATTTAAAAAGTATCGCAAAAAATATTTATCAAGTTTCATCACCATTCTAAAACACAAATGCGAACAGAATGCATCCATAAATCTTTATTTGACGTGTCACGAGTGTGTAGTTGTATTAGCTATTTCGTAAAGAAGGCTAATCCGTCTTTGAAATGGACACAATGCCACCAAATGACTCCCAAAAGTCACATGACACTCTTCTGGGTTGAGCTGGTTTTGGAGCTAGATTGTGTTTATCTCTTGAAGAAATCATGAGAGTATTTGAAACTGAAAGAGCATTTCCACGGTAAGCAGAAATTCCCTGATAAAAGGTTCTCCCAGAGGTGTAAATAGTTCTTCTTAACTCACTACAACCTGACAATGAGAACCATCCAAAAACGATGCATGAGACAGTTTAAAATCATTTTGGCTAAAGATAATGGATGGTTCTGCGATCTAATTTTGAAGGATGATACAGCAGATTTGGGATAGCAGACATGTTAAATTTTGGTCTAGGTAAGACTGACAGAGAGATACCATTTTAACAGAATTCCAAGAAAAAACTTGCAGCATCAGACAGAGCAGGTTCTCAACAGCAAGATGCAAGAAGACAATCCAATGAAAGGACTGCTGTGCTGAACCAGGCTACCATAACCTGCAGCATTGACAAGTAAAATTTTTAGAAGAGCTTCCACCTCCTTCTAAGACCTCTTCTGCTCAGTCCACCAGTGGAAAGAAAACCTCAACTATTCAACTACAGAAACCATCACAGGGATGGGAGCAGAGCAGTAACATTTAAAGTACGTGGTTAATGAATGGTGATCCTAAGTTACACATGGAGAAACAGCATAAGAAGGAGCTCTCTTTGAAAATCCTTGTGACAGCCTTGTAAATACACAAATTGCTTCCACTTGTGACAGGGCTATATATGAAAATATATTCACAAGTGACTACACATAACAGGAAAAGAAATACCTCCAACAAAATTCTTCACCACGCTATGACCTCACAACAGGATCCACCATGGATTTTTCTGCAATGGCAAACCTTACGAGTTCACCGCATTTCTTAGGAGTGGGACTCAAATGGACAAACACACAAATATGTTCTTAAAATCCCAAGTTCCTACCTTTATGCAAGTTATTTTCATAGCATGTAGCCTGTCCAATGATTCCTGTGGTTTTCCCAAATACTGTGGAAGTTCTGCATGCAGGACTCTCATTGAAAATGGTATCATGGACCCTAAAAATGGGTTTGAAAAATGATTACACAACAGCAACACATTTTGCATTTATCTTTTCATGTTGTCAAGTATAACAGTGAATGGATTCCTGATTTATTTTTAACTTGTTTGTAGCATTTAAGAATATTTGCTTGAAGACAAATTTTGGCAACATATCTCAAGCTTATGCAAATTTCTAATTAAAAAATCCCAATGGTCACTTCCAATTAAATCACCTGCAAAAGATCAACAATATTCATGGTCATGTACCTTTGGCTCACCTTTCTATTCTTCTGTCAAATTAATTCTACGTATAGGAACTTTGTGTCAATAAACTGTAAACATATTTTCAAAAGCTTTCATGGGTTTGTTTGGGAGGGGATGATGGGGGTGGTGGGTTTGGGAAGAGGGAAGGACAGGAGAGAGAAGTAGGAGGGCATGTAGAGTGGAAGAGGGATCACACTGTGCTATGCAGAGAAAGGGGACTTGGTGGAATGAAAGGGCACAGATGAGTGCGTGCAGGGAAACGGAGGGTGTGAAGGAGAGGTTACACAGGGAGAGGACGGAGGAATGGAGGTGATGGGGAGAGGTAGAGGGTAGAGTGAGGGGAAGAAAGGAGAAAAGTAATGGGAAGAAAGAGTGACAGGACATGAGTGAGAGTGAGAAAGAGGTACAGCAGCACAAAGACGACAAATGTTGAAAAGAGCTAATCCTTGTCCTCTTTTCTCCATTTACTCCCCTACATGCTCCTCTTCCAAAGTTGTACAATTACACTCTCATACACTGCTTTAAGACCAAATCAGGCAGAAACAATCTACCAGATGTCGATATTTGGTGCTAGTTTAGGTACAGAATCAGAATAATGGCAACGACAGTGTTTGAACACATTACTTTTATACTATTTCTGCAGAAAACTGTCCATTTCCTGCAAAATGCAGAAATAATTTGAAGCTTCTATTTGACAAGGAAAATTTTATTTCAAAATCTCTTCGATGAACTCAAGAACATTACACTTTTCCCATCTACATATTCCTATCAATATATATGATGCATGGGAAAGTGGTTTCTGGTGTGCAATAAAGCAAATGAATAGGGTAGCTCCTGAATCCCAGCCCATGGCTGAATGTGCAATCAATTTTCCTCATGATCCTCGATTATTGAGTATTTTGCTGGGGTGCAGGGAAACCAGGGAAAGAGTAGCAGCTCAGAAGTCCTCACAGTAATCAGCTTTACAAACTTGATGGGACAGAAGGCAATTTATTTTGTTGATTGGCCTTTACAAAGACTAAGAGCTATGCCAGTCTGCAGCAGATACAAATCAATTCTAATAATTGATGACAGTGTCAATGAAAGAACAATCAGACAATGTTATTTTTATATTACACACTTGTTTGTACATTTTTGTGCTGATTGTGAAGTATTTTCAATTCTATTCAAATGACCTGTCACCACTACGAGCACTGACATTGAGGTAGCACAGCATGACTATAGTAAATCACCCTTTATTACATTTTAACCATTCACCTTGATCCATTTGTTATAAAACCTAGAACTTTAAATTTTCAGTTTTCCACATGAACCATCTTTGTAATCTTCATAAATAAAATATGAAAATACAAAGTTACACTTTAAAGATTTCACTTATATGCAGGATCATTGCTTGCACACTTCCTAGCTGGATATCTCCCATAGTACTATTAGGAAGCAGTAATACTTTACCGACCCAGCAACAATGAAAGAAATTCTATCATTGTGAATGGATTAAAAGACAACATTAATACATTTCTGTATGTATTTAATGTCTGTTTATAAATCACATTAAACAGCCAAAAGATGGCTACTTAATCCATGATTGGACTTAGTAACTTTCTAAGAGCTTCTCAGAAGCCAAAAATCAGGAACACCAACGGTAGCCCCTGATGGACCTGGAAGGATAATGAATACAACACTGTCTGCCAAAGATGTTGAATAAATAAAACTCTGACAACAGAATTTCACCTTACATCTTCTAACAGGATAGATGTATTTAATGATTTTCCACTTAAGCCTCTGGGATGGGGCTATAGATTGCTGCTTATCTGCAATGAAAGCTTTTGCCTCGATGGTAACTGATTATTTCTCATCGCTCTCCCAAATACAGAACAAAAATGCCTTTTAAATATTCAATTTGGAAATACCAGGTATTTTATGGTCAAGATTGCTACACACTGATTGACAATAGGAAATCCCTATCTCCACACGACAAATAAAGTTAAAAAGCCTATGGCCTGTCAAAGGCCGTGTGAAATAAACCTTTTTTCTGGCTACCTTTGAATGTTGTTCCAGACATTACAAAGTCAGACCATATAACTGAGGATTTGGAGGAAATACGCTGCCACTCTTTTTAAAAAGGCAGAGAAAAAAAAAAAAAAAAAAAAATCGCTATCTGCTTACAGGTAGGTGATGAGAATAAGGCAAAAGATGTATTTTAAAACTTTCATTCTGTTTCTAACAGGTTATACTCCAAGTTAGGAACGTGTATTTTATGAAGGAGAATCTTGAAGATGGTGGTATTCTCATAATCATGCTCTCATCATCCCTTGATGTGGTACACGGCTCATGTTTGGAGGATGCTGTTGAAGGGGTTTTGATGAGTTGCTGCTGTGCATTTTATGGACGTGCTCATTACTGCCATATTGCAAAGAGATGGAGGGTTGAATGGTAAAGGTGGAGTGCCAATCAAATAAACCACTTTGTCCTGATGGTTTCAAGGTCATATATTGTTGCGCTTGTGCAGACAAGTGTTTTCTATCACTGGCTGACATAACTAAATGAAAACTTTTGAGATGTCTTTTTCACAAAGGAACTATTATTTGAAAGATGTCTTTTACATCATCTTGATCTCAGTGGCTTTCAAAAATTCTGGGAAAGGCACTGGAATATAATTCAAATCCCTTTAGGGATAACATTATAGTAGATGACTACACTTCTAAAATATTTAATTGGCTGCAAAGCACTTTGGGTTATCATGAGATCATGGAAGGCACTACATAAATGCAATTCCTTTCTTCCTTCCTAATTGAGTAGTACTGGAGAGATAGGAGCCTTGGATTTTTTTGGTTGAATGACAAAAACATAGACCTCGCAGTTTATGCATTTTAAAAGGCCTGTAGCTTTGGAGAAGTCACTGACATTCTTCGAAGGCATGGGATAAATGGGATGTAATGGGATTAAACTGATCAGATAGGAATTGGCAAAGAGCTATTAAATAGTCACAGCTCATTATTCCTAGCAGATGCTGAAGGCTGCCGATTAAGCATCTGAATTCACTTAGCATTCTTGCTCCTAAGTAATTTCTTTTCCTGAGCTTATCACTCTTTATAGTAAAGCAGCACCATGTGAACAATGATTATGAAAAACAAAATAATTCAAATACCCAAGTAAAAGTCCTTATACGATAAAGGACAATCTTATATTTTCTTACTGAAGAGACAGGAGCCTTGGATTTTTTTGGTTGAATGACAAAAACGTAGACCTCGCAGTTTATGAAATGTTGTTACAGAAGAAACAATGATTACTGCTAAAGTACTGCTTAAAAAAATAGGCAATATTCTATAGCTGCCCTCTAGACCAATACTTTAATAGCTAAAAATAAAAGTCTCAGATATTCTAGCTAAGGTCAGAAGCCATACTTCAGACCCTGATGGATTAAAAATCTCACTTAGCTTTTCGTGACGTGTGGTACCACCACATATCATAAGGAGATATTGCAAGTATCACATGAAGTTCCTATGGCAGGACTATGGAAAACCAAAAGTGTCGATAACCAGGCATTTTACCAGGCTAAGACTTTAAGGACACAGTGCAGCATTGTAAAACATGCCATACATGTCAGTTAGGATGAAAGTCTCAACATATACTCAAACCATCTCGGAGTATCTTCAATACTCAGAGTCTATAGATATGAGGCTGGAAAAGCACAGCAGGTCAGACAGTGTGCTTCCAGCATCTGCAGTCCTTACTGTCTCCATCTTCAATACCCATACCAGTATTTGAAGAACCATTTAGTCAAGTATTAATTGATTGTGTCAGACCTTTAACCAAAATTAGAACAGGACACCAGTGTATCCTTACAGCAATGGATAATGACAACACTACTTTCAGAGCAATTCCTTGAAGAAGAATTACAGCTAAAGTAGTAATGGAATAGCAGACACAAGTATTGGCTTTTTTTTCTAGTCAGATCATGACAGTTTGCAAAGATTTACACTCTTCATCAGCTTAACGGGTGGCTGTTGGGCTCATAACATGGCACTCTTGCTTATACTGGAAATGTCATTTCTAAAAAAAAAAATCAATCAAATGAAACATCTCTGGCACAGTTGGGATGTCACCCAGGTTTCCTGTTTCAGAAGCAGGGACACTACCTCTGATTACAAAATATATCAGGGTCCTTGTGGTTCAATCTGTTCAAAGATGTCATGACACACACATCTGGAATAGATGGGACTTGAAACCGGTCTTCTGGCTCAGAGGTAGGCACACTACTGCTGTGTCACAAAGCCCCAGTTTTTAAAAAAAAAAATTAACCTGCGGAGCTAATTTAGGTTGACTAACATACCTTAATTATATTGCCACAATAAACCACCATTTAAATCATAACAAAGGGTATCAGCCAACTCATGATGGATGTACTCACAAGAAGATTAGCCAATTAATTTATTCCCACAATAAGCAGTATTCATCAATAATTACAGTTGCCACTTCCTGGAATTTGTAAACCAAGATATGCAAACTGTCCAAGTTGTGCCTCCTGAACCCATACCCCTCTGGTTAAAGGCAACTCCCACAGCACATCCATTGTCACTTCTACCTACTTTTGCCTTCTTCAGATTTCAAAGATTTAAGTTTCAAATACTGACATATCAACACATGAATAAGAAGCAGAGGTAGGCCACTCCGCACCTTAAACATGCTCTTCCATTCAATAAGATCATAGCTGATCCGATTACTGCCTCAACTCCACTTTTCTGTTGACCCCCTATATCCTTTGACTCCCACATTAGTTAAGACTCTATCTACCTTTGCTTTAAAAACATTCAATGACCCTATTTCCACGTATTCTGGGGAAGAGAATTCCACAGACTCTTGACATTGAGAGAAAATAACAACTACATTAATTAGGAGCTCCAATGCCCCTCTACTTCATATTCCTCTAACCTTTCTTATATGATCTGTTCTCTCAATTATACCACCATCCTGTTTTCAACACCCTCTTTAGCCTTCTCCTCTCTGATCTTGAATGGTCTTTAGCAAAGTTCTCAGCATCACCCTATTTCCCTACTCCAATGAATTTTCAAGAGTGGCACAGTGGTTGCTCTTCTCACTTTTGTTTCCACATCTATTTCTTTGAATAGGTGTCTTCCCTTCACACAGCTGACCCATTTTATCAGTCTTCAAAATTATTGTTCCACCTGGATTTTTTTTTTTAAACCATTTCTAGATCTTTTCATTAACATGTCACGTCACCAGTTCCCAATTTCTTTGCTCTCCCTCACCCACTCTAACCTATCTCCCTCTGAACATCCCGTGCTCCATTCTCTCAGGTCCGATCCTGACAGGGTCATTAAATTTGCTGATGGGGTGGCACTCTCATAGCTCTGTGATCAAAGACTAAACGGTAGCTCTCTTTAACATCTTTAATCTACACCTGGGCCGTGAACCTAACAAAAACATTAAGCTAGTATCTGACAGATCATCACATGCTCCTTCCCAGCTGCAGTCTTTCTTCCCTAATCCCACTTCAACACTCTTCCACCTCAGTCCCCCAAACTCTGAGCCCACTTATATATCTGTCTCCTCTCCAAGATTCCTCAACAGGACAACCTGGTAAGATGTTTCAGTCCTCATCTTGTCTTATCTTCCATGTGTGGTCTCATGTCCACTACATCCACAATTACTCTGACATCCTCCACCACTTTTAACAATTTTCAGTTTCCCCACCATCTCCTTTCCACCGTGGATGCCATCATCAGGTCCATCTGCCATGAGGATGGCCCACAGCACCTCTGCTTCCTCCTTGAATTGAGACTTAAACAATCATTTTCCACCACCACCTTCCTCTACCTGGATGAACTTATTCTTATTTTGACTTGACTCCAGTCGCATCCATGAATGAGGAACTTTGAATTGTTCTCAGCTTGATCTGTATTTTGTACGATATATGGATAATTTATTTGATCATTCCTACTCAGGGCCCCTCCTGTACCCACCTTTCCAGTATATTGATGACGAATGGTTCTGCTTCTGCACTGGCCCCAAATTGAGAAACAAAAATTTTTCTCCAGTTTGTTAGACTTTTAGATTTGTCACAGTTTCGACATCTCTGCTCTCCCTCCAAGTGGTATAATGATTTCTACTCATTCACACCTTCCACGTCACAAACAAACAAACATTCATATGAAATATATTATCCTCCATAATTGGGGTCTTCTGGTTCAGTGATCATGCCTCTACCTCTACCTCTACCCCTGCCATTTTAATTTAAACCCACTTCCACAATATTAAAAATGTCTGAGAGGACATGGGTCCTGGTCCCTAGTGGGATGCAACCTATTCAGTTTGAACAGATCCCTTCCTCTCCAGGATCGGTCCCAATGCCTTTAGAAGCTAAATCTCTCCCTTCTACACCATCCCTCCACCACGTATTCAACCAGTCTATTTTCCTACTTCTGATCTCACCATAATGCAATGCTGGGTTTCAAGTCACTAATTCTATTTTTCACACAGCAGCAGCTGGGAACGTTTCAGCTGTTGACATGTAATGTTCCTCTAAATCCTCTAATTGGCCCGAGTCCTTTATCATTCCCCTTTATCTTACAACATCATCACTTTTGACATTTAATCAGTTTTGCTTTCCATTCTATCAGACCTTCCCTCTTGTTTACTTCTCCCCTACCTGCATTGCCTGCCTCCCGACTTGCCCAAGGGCTTTGAACACCTTTAACTGGTTAAAAAGTAAATTGACTTGAAACATTAACTGTTCTTCTTCCAAAGATGTTGTCTAGCCTGTTGAGTATTTCCAGCACTTCATTTTAAGTTGATTATTCCTGGCTTGAATCAGCTAATTGATTTAAGTACTGAAAACCCAATTTTAACAAAATCACAGAAGTTTGGAGCATGGAAGGTGACTCTCCCTTTTGCCATAGATCTGCAATATTTACATTAAAGTATTAATCCAATTCCTCTTTGGAAGTTATGACTGAACCTGCTCTCAGATAGAGGAAGTATTTGCTTCACATTGTTCCACTTAATATAATTCTGCTTTAACATTGTTTTATTTTCCAAGGCCTGTTTCTTTGCATTATGTTCACAACCCAATGTGGTTGCCTCTCCATCTGCCTGCTCCACCCCCTCCAAAACGCCGTGCCTCCCAGAGTTTCTCCCACTGCCCTCGCGTCGGCTCTGCCTTCTTGTTTGCGCGCCAACTTCTGCCATTGCAGGGGAACCTAGTCAATCTAAAAATATAGACAATTATTGGTCAGCATTTTCCTAAAACTGTTATATAGGAAATAGGCTGCGCTGTATTTCTCACATTTCGTGAGAAGTTTTATTTTGCACGTTATTTCAGCTGGCAATGCATAGGCTTGCATATATATGGTACAGTACATCAACTTGAAGGGACTTAACTCTAACTTTAACATTTATTTGTATGGGAGCTCATGATTCACTTAAAGTTGATATTTTTAGAAATGAAACCACAACATTACGTGAGGAGTTACTGTACTGTAGTGCATTCCAGAAAACACAATGTAGAAAAACATTTCATGATCTCACCCCGGCTCATATGCTAATTACCTTAAATCTGTTCCTCTGGCACTGCCAGTGGAAACAACTTTTCCTTATTTACTCTGGCAAAACGCTTTATGCTTTGAACTTAACTCGGCCTGCTTAATCTTTCTACTCAGAGAACAATCCCAACTTTTCCAATCCAGCGGTTCTCAATCCTTTTGGATGAAGGATACTTTCCAAACAGGTTAAAATTCACAGGTACATCTCATCTTAATGCTAATATTTTAAAAGTGCCATGTGATAAATTTGTTTTAATTAAAAGAGAGAGAGAGAGAGAGAGAGAGAGAGAGAGAGAGAGAGAGAGAGAGAGAGAGAGAGAGAGAGACACAGAGAAAGAGAGGGAGAGAGCAGAAAACAAAGAAGCAATGGAAAGACACAGCACAATGGGAACCACCGTGGAGCAGGGAAAAAAAAATCTCCAGAATTGATTCAGCGCTTTAACTGCAGGAGAGAGCAGCAGCAGGAGGAGACAAGACTTGCTCCTTTTCACCATGGCACCCTGGGAAGTCATCCAACCCAAGTATCTGTGGAACCCCAATGCTCTAGTCTTTCTATGTAACCTAAGGCCCTCCCTTCTAATAACTCTCCTCTGTAGTTGCAGTAAGGTCTTGAAAAAGATTTCCTAAATGTGGTGCCCAAAATTGGAGATAAAACTCCAAGTGAGCTAGCCCATCTATCGTCAATGTTTAGCATAACCTGTTTGCTTTTCTACTTCATAACTCCATTTGTGAAGCAAAGATTCTACGTGCTTTTCTTAAGCAGCCTTCTCGACTTGGCCTGCCCTCATCAATTCTCTCTGTTACGTCATAAGAAAAAGCAGAGATCAGCACATAGCTTTTCAAGCCAGTTCTGCCATGCATAAGATCATTGCTGATCTCCTATCTTAAATCTGCTTTCTACCAAGTTAGTCAAAAATGATTTAACTTTTTTTAAAAAAAAATCAGATCCTTGAACAGATCCATCGATAGTCCATTTCCTTCTTCCCTTTCCTCCACATGGGGCTGTGATTACCTAAACACATGCTCCCATCTAGGCTTCCCATTGCTCATTTATTGCTTTATCTCCTAATCTTTGAACCCAACCCACCAGGGCCTACATTTTATTCAACCCACTAAAATTGACCCCCTTTCAATTTAATTTCTGATTTTTCTTTGTATTTTCTCAATTATTCTACAGTTAATTATACTGTGATCACCGATTCCCAAATGCGCTCTCACCGAAATATCCATTTCGTGTATCAGAACTAGTGTTAGCCCATCAACATTACTTCCTCATACTTGTATCTTTCTGAAATGTACATGCAAAGCCACTCACCCATCATCTTTCTACCATTTTATTGTAGTTATATGTGGCCTATAGCACACACCTAGAATGTAATAGGTAACAGCTCCTTGAATGTTCTTAACCCCACCCATATTAGCTTTTCATTCTCAAGAGCATTATTCTTTTCTCAGTTCTATCATGCAAAATCAATTGTGCTTTAATAATCATTAGAGCTTCAATAATCCTTTGTTTCCTTCTCTCCCCGTCTCTAGAACATACACTGAACATATAATGTATATATGCCAATAGTTGCCGAGGCAATTGTTTTAAGTACATATGCATAATTATCTATGGAAATATGAAAAGTTGGCATTAGCTATTATTTCTCATTAACAAAACTGGTCATTTAATGAATAATTTCTACCCCTGGAGTAAATCAAACACAACACATTAATTTTGAATGCAATAAAATGTAACCTCTGCGTCCTGGGTATACATGAGGATAGTACTCGTAGTACAAATCTGGCTGGTCGAGATTCCCAAATGGCTCAAATTCGGTCTCAGCATTTTGGAATAAGCTTAGCTTCATCAACAAGGCTAGTCGCACAAACCACAGCTGTAACAATGAAAATACTATTGTTATTGAGCTTGCACTCAAAATAATATCATAAAAATGTTAAAAGTATGTGTAAATGTTACATACGTTCAGTACCAAAGTGCTTATCACTTCATCATGACTTAGATTTAATCTGATGGGCGGCACGGTGGCTCAATGGTTAGCACTGCTGCCTCACAGCGCCAGCGACCCAGGTTCGATTCCAGCCTCGGGCGACTGTTTGTGCAAACTCCACACATTCGCCCTGTGTTTGCGTGGGTTTCCTCTGGGTGCTCCGGTTTCCTCCCACAGTCCAAAGATGTGCAGGGGAGGTGGATTGCCTATGCTAAATTGCCTATAGTACCCAGGAATGTTTGGGTTAGACATGTGAAATGCAGGGGTAGGGGAACGGTTCTAGGTGCGATCCTCTTCGGAGGGGCGGTGTGGACTTGTTGGACCGAATGGCCTGTTTCCGTGCTGTAGGGATTTGTATGATGAACAACTGAACCATACAGAAGAAATGCTGCATTTGATCCCATGTCTGAGGGTTAGATGACTAACCTGGATGCATTAAATCAAAACAATTGGTCTCAATCTGCTGAGTTAGCAATGCTGGAAACAAAGAAAAATACCAGGGTTTCTAACTCCTACTACTATTGAGCAATCTATCCTGGAAGTATGCAGCATCAGGCTTGGTTCCAAAGACCTTGGCATTGCCAATGACTTACCATCAAAGGTCAAAAAATATCAGCCACTTGGGGAAGGTTTTGGAAAAAGATAATCACCTATGTAACTGTTCTGGAAAAAAGTAAAATGCATTCATCTATATATGTAGATTGCAAGAAAAATGGCAAGAAAATATGGGGGAAACATACTTAAAATGCTCCTTTCCAGCTACTCAAAACAAACACATCCAGAAATGTAAGCACAATTCCAAACCATGTAAAGTAGTGAAGTATCAATATTGATTACTGTCATGTCATTTAGGCAAATTTTCCTATTCTTTCATGGAAAAAAGGTTGGTAAAGAAAAACAGATTTCCTTCAAAGTCAGTAGGATTGTATTGGAACACAATGTAAGTGTTTCTTATATTTCAGTTCCTGACCTAATTCAGGCACAGGACCTCAGCTTCAGCCTTGCCATGCAATCTTTAAGCATTGCTATGTGGTGAGACTGAGAGAATGGTCTAATGTTTATAGTTAAAATTGAACAGATGGGACATAGCCAATTGTTAAATCTATGAAGCAACTAGCAACAACAGGAGGATGATCCCAAAGGGTGACTGAAAGCGAAAAGAAACTATATTCACCTCATCTATGCCCCTCATTTTTATAAACCAATTTAATAATATCCTTCCTATAATAGGGTGACCAGAACCATACACTGTACTCCAAAAGTGGCCTCACCAACATTCTGTACAACCTCAATATGATGTCTCAACTCCTATATTCAATGGTCTGAGCAATGAAGGCAAGCATGCTAAATGCCTTCTCAACCACCTTGCCTACCTGCGACGCAACTGTCAAAGAACTATGCACTTGAACCCCTAGATCTCTCTGTTCAACACTACTACCCAGGGCCCTACCATTAACTGTTTAAGTCTTGCTCTCGTTTCTTTTACTTGTGTTGATGCTTTCTTTTCTGTTCATTTGTATAGTTAAAGTCAGGCAAACAGGAGTACACAATACAAAATCATGTACAAATCCTATGATGTAACCCTTGACAATTTAAAACATGCACATATGCTTACTTTCAGCAATTCTACAAACAAATCACAGAAAGCTGTACTGAGGAACAGCAGGTTTCATTTCAAATTGTTAGTGGAGGTAACTTTTGTTGACAGTAAAACCAAGTTAGAGCATCCTGAGTTTTTTTGAGGTTTCCAAACTTAAAACCAGTCTATTATTTTCCTATTAAAATCAAAGTGAAACGACTTCTCTTTAGGATGGAAACAATGATTCTGACGGAGGGTTTCAAATGGAACCCAACATAGTTTATTTATACCCAAATGGAATGAACCAATTGTCAAGTGAAGTATTGCTCAACACATGACGCATATTCTGCTCTTCAGAAAATATGAATTAGCTTTCTTTCCTTTTATACTTTGAATGAAATTACTAACAGCAAAATGTCCTGATAGCATTTTATTAAACATCTGAATTATTTCAGTAGTGACAATCATGAGCTGTCATTGTTCCTGAACCTGCACTACATTATTGTAAAATGAGACTAACGTTATGTAATCCAGGGGTGTGCTAAAATTTGTAACATAACGTATAAAAGATGGTATGACAATGCATCAGATTCAGACTCGGGACAAGTACCACCCAGAGACACTGTCAAAGGATTCTGTCTAATGAAACTGAATTTAAGCTGGACAGTCTGTGTTTGCCCAGGTTTTAGAATAGAGAGAGCATGAGAAAGGGTGTGCGCGAGCCTTGGCCATCATTTACATAAAGCACATGGAGAGTGACTGTAAATTAAACTTGGGTAAAGAGCCAGGACACTATGTTCCAACATTGAGAATTTGAGCTGGGGAGAGAAAAGTGTGATGTATAGTTTCTTCCCTTGCTTCCTCAGGGACATGATTTAGCGCACTCAATCAGTTAGTAAAACTTTGTATTCATGCTTCCTTTGCATTTCAGTTTTCTCCTCAATTCAACACAACGTGCTTCCAATTGCACTCGTTCACCTTCCCTCCAACTGATTTGTCTTCGGCATCACAGAATTAGAATTGTGTCCAGTACCATATCCAGACAGTATATGCATTTTTTAAAGATTGCTAAAAGTAAAATGAACTTGTAATTTGATAATCATGCGAAATGTCTTTGGTCAGTTGACTATAGAGAAAGCAGAATCTCAAAGAGGAAGGACCTTAAAAACAGAAATTTTGTAAGAAATTCAGGAGATCTAACAGTATTTGGCAGCATTACAACAAGTTATCATTTTGTGTCAAAATGTTAATTTTTGACTCAAAATGTTAATTGTTTTCTCTCCACAGGTGCTGCCACACCTCCCGATTTTCTGCTACGATTTTGGTTCTGTTTCAGATTTCCAGTATCTGCAGTTCTTTGTTTACATTAGTAAAAACCTTAGAATGTACTCATCAAGACAAACACAAGAGTGATTCTCCTGCAGAAAAACTGACATCCACGTTTTAAATTTGGCATTCCTGCAATAGCCCTGATGAGTACAAAGTGAAAAAGATTCAACAATAGAGACAACAAGGTGCAGGGCTGAATGAACACAGCAGGCCAAGCAGCATCATAGGAGCAGAGAGGCTGACG